AAATATATCCCTTTAAATTTTTTGTTCTGTGATCTTATGGATAAATAATATTTTAAACTAAGTAAATATAATTATGCTGTTCAATGTGACTGATCATGATAAGAAACCAAATCATAAATATTTGAGAACAATGGATGTGGTTCTACCTAATGTCTATTTCATTCAAGTATGATTGTGTCATTGTGATTATTAATAATTGAACAAGTATAGTTCATGAAACCATACTTCTAGCTGAGGTGTGAAATAGGAACTCACAAATTTCTGCCCTGAATATTTTTCTGCAATGTATTTAAGAGGCAAGAGTGATTTGTCTATTCACACATCAAATTTCTCTGATGGAGTTTGTGAGAGAATCTAAATTCAGACCTAATGTGCTGAGTTTCAAGAACATTTTGATATTGTTATTGGTTTTGGATAAGATAGAACTTACTAAAGTTAAGAACTTGGTTGTATCAAATTAAAGAGATGCAAATACAGTCTCTGATAAAATAAAAATTATACTTCAATGCAAAGTTCATATGCTCTTGAAACAAAATTTAAACGTGTTTCATTCAGAATGAGACAAATGTGTATTAAGTCAATTTAATATAATTCAGAAATAAGTTATTTCAATAAAGATATCATTATTTGACAATAAAAATGTACAATAATAAGATATTTGTAGTATTTGTGATGTCTAGGTATCTTTCTAATATTTTTTTTATTTTATGTTCCTTTTTTATTTGCACTAAATTTCCCAAAGAATATATGAAAGGATTTTGTAAATTATTGTCTAATATTTAATGTAGTAAAACAAAGAAACTCTACAATTCTATACATAACCAAAATATTTTTTGTGAGACATATAATCAAAGTTAACTTCCATAAATTTCTCAAGTACACAACCTTGCTTGTATTAATGAAGATATTTTATTATAACTAATCTTTTTTCAGAATGGTAGGAGTTGATGCGATCAACCAAGAGTTTAACAGGTTAGAAAGGGAAAGATTACACTTTCAAGTTTGTAGTCAAAATCTTTGGTTTTCTTACTTGTTTATAGCATCTATTTTAATGTCAACTTGATGCAATCATTCATTTGGAAGTGAGAACCTCAAAAAAAAAAAAAACCTCATCATATTGATGAATGACTGATATAGGGAGGCCCTGCTCAAGCTCAGCTGTGGGTGCTCTAAGAATGCAGGCTCTGTAAGCCATGGGGAGGGATTTCGAAAGCTGTGCCCCAACACTTCCCAGTGGCTTCTGCATCATCCTCTTCCTCCATGTTCCTTCCCTGATTTGCCTCAGAGACAGACTGGGTTGTGGAGATGTAAGTGGAAACAGGCCATTTCCTCCACAACTTACTTTTGGTCATGGTCTTTTTTTTTTTTTTTTAATTGAGTTTTCTCGGTGAACTTTTTTTTTTTATTTATTCATTTTGTATCCCCCCATAAGCCCCACCCTCCTCCCCTCCCGATCCCACCCTCCCTCCTCTTTCTGCATGCATGCCACTCCCCAAGTCCACTGATAGGGGAGGTTCTCCTCTCCTTTCTGATCTTAGTCTATCAGTTCTCATCAAAAGTGGCTGCATTGTCCTCTACTGTGGCCTGATAAGGCTGCTCCCCCCTCAGGGGGAGGTGATCAAAGAGCAGGCCAATCAGATTATGTCAGAGGCAGTCCCTCTTCCCATTACTAGGTAACCCACTTGGACACTGAACTGCCATGGGCTACATCTGTGCAGGGGTTCTAGGTTATCTCCACGAATAGTCCTTGGTTGGAGTATGAGTCTCTGGGAAGTTCCCTGTGTTCAAATTATCTTGTTCTGTTGCTCTCCTTGTGGAGTTCCCGTCCCCTCCAGCTCTTACTATTTCCCACTTCTTACATAGAATTCCATCCACTCTGCCCATCGGTTGGCCGTCAGGCTCAGCATCTGCTTTGACAGTCTATACTGCAGAGGCTTTCAGAGGCCCTCTGTGGCAGGTTTCAAGGTTGTTTCCTGTTTTCTTCTGGCTTTCAGAGGCCCTCTGTAGCAGGTTCCGAGGTTGTTTCCTATTTTCTTTTTCTTCTGATGTCCATTCTCTTTGCCTTTCAGGATGGGGATTGAACATTTTAGTTAGGGTCCTCTCTTTTGCTTACTTTGTTTAGATGTACAGATTTTAGTGGGTTTATTCTATGTTGTATGTTTATATGAGTGAGTATATACCATGCGTGTCTTTTTGCTCCTGGGACAACTCACTCAGGATGATCCTTTCCAGGTCCCACCATTTACCTGCAAATTTCATGATTTCCTTATTTTTCACTGCTGGGTAATACTCCATTGTATAGATGTACCACAGTTTCTGCATCCATTCTTCAGTTGAGGGGCATCTGGGTTGTTTCCAGCTTCTGGCTATTACTAATAAAGCTGCTACAAACATGGTTGAGCAAATGTCCTTTTTGTGTACTTGCGCCTCTTTTGGGTATATGCCTAGGAGTGGTATGGCTGGATCTTGAGGAAGCAAGGAACAATTCCTAGTTGTCTGAGAAAGCGCCAGATTGATTTCCAGAGTGGTTGTACCAGTTTACATTCCCACCAGCAGTGGAGAAGGGTTCCCTTTTCTCCACAACCTCTCCAGCATGTGTTGTCCCTTGAGTTTTTCATCTTGGCCATTCTGATGGGTGTAAGGTGAAATCTCAGGGTTGTTTTGATTTGCATTTCCCTAATGGCTAATGAGGTTGAGCATTTCTTTAAGTGCTTCTCTGCCATTCGATATTCCTCTACAGAGAATTCTCTCTTTAGCTCTGTTCCCCATTTTTTAAGTGGATTACTTGATCATGGTCTTTTATCACAGCAATAGTAGAGTAACTAAGATAGAAGATCAGCACAAAGCTGAAGAAATCGAAGGACCATTCAATGTAGACAGTATTTGTACTAACTTGACATGAGACAATAAATAGTTCTATTTGTTCATCAAGTTTTATATTGCTTTAGGTTTTATTTACTGTGTAACTACAAAGAGATAATAAGTTGTTCATTGTATTACAAAATCTCTACAGACCTTCCTCAGAAATGACTCTCCTATAATCCCTGTTTTTAATTATGTATTATTATTTCTTAGTACGATAAGTCAATGAATATGTATTCTCTACTTTGTTTCTAAAAAGTAATAATTTACTTAATATATGCTGCTTATCTTTCTTCTTATAATGTGATTCTTATACCAGCTATGACTAAGTATCATAAAACCAGTGGGTTGACCACACACCCAATTCATTACCTCACAGTTCTTGAGATGAGAGTGCTATAAAAGATGATGTCCAGAAACCTATGTGTTCTATAGAAATTTGTTTCCTCATCTTTCAGAACTTCTAAAAGTCATTGTCAGTGTGGAACCTGAGACCTTTTTGATCATTTTTAACACCAGCTTGGCATACTTTGTCTGTCTCTCCTGTCTGTTCCCACTGCCCTTTTCTGCACCCCTATTCCTGTCCTCTATTTTATATTCTAAATATGGTTCCAGCCACTGTCCCCCTTTCTAGTAGCAATGTGATTATGTTTAGACCTATGTGAAAAACTAGGCTAATTTTTACATATTAATAACTTGAATTTAGTTACATTTTCAGACTAGTTTTGTATATTTAAGATACTCATAGGCTTGACACAAGAATCTTTCAGAAACCATTATTTTCTCCACTACATGTACACCTAGGCTATGATATATTGTTCAATACAAGTATTTATTTATACTATAGTAAGTTTGTATACATGCATAATAAAGTTCTCACTGATTTTTCTTGGAAATAATTATTTATAGCTTACTTATCACTATCATCCTTATTTTGAGGTATTATATTGCAGACTTTTCCAGGCTTGACTCAAAAAAATCCTCCCTTCGGCCCCAGGAATGGTCAGAACTGCAAGTGTGCAACATCATGTCATTTTGAATTAATATTATTTTACTTTTTTATTATGAGTAAAAACAATTTTAACACATAGAAGAAGACGAATGTTAAAGACAGTCAAAGCTGGTGTCAATATTTTAGCTATGTCACTGTTCATTATTCTGTTATTATTATTCTACTTTTGAGTGAAACAATATTTGTAGGAACAAATTGTGGATTTCATTTTTAGATAATGGTTAGTAATATTCTTAAGTTTCAAACTTGAGGAAAATAAAACCAAACTTGCTATATTTAATTCATTCATAAAACTAAAAAAGAAAAACATTTGAAAGCTAGTCGTGGTGAATTTTGAATCACGTCTCTATTGGCAACACTCCCTACTTTTTTTTCTTTTTCGTTTGGGAGATTGGGGCAAGAGGATGGACTGTAAGTTTGAAATCAACATGTCCTACATATTGAGTTTCAGGAAAGTTTGGGTTGCAGACTGAGATCATGTCTCAAGAAAACTTTTTTTGTTTTGTTTTGTTTTTGTGATACAGAGTTTCTCTGTGTAGCCTTGGCTGTCCTGGGCTCACTTTTGTAGAACAGGCTAGTCACCATCTGTAATCCTACAATGCCAGGCTTGAGAACTGTGTCTTTATAATGTTAATGTGCTGTACTATATACAGTAAAAACGTCTTTTAGATTTCTGGTATAAAATATTTTTTTCTCTTGATTTGTTCATTTAGAAGCATATATCCAATTTGTTAAAATTTTCATACAATGTATTTTGATAATATTCTTTTCCCTCTTTTTTTTTTCCAAACTTTTTCCTACTCTTATAGATTAAAAATTGTTATTGGGCACAGTGGTACATTCCTGTAATCCCAGTACTCAAGGAGGCAGAGGCAGGTGGATCACTGTGAGATAGAGCTCAGCCTGGTCTACAAAATGTGTCCAGGACAGCCAAGCCTACTCAGAGAAACCCTGTCTTGAAAAACCAACCAACCAACCAACCAAAAACAAACAAACAAATAAATAATTGTTACTAAAATGCAATAGGTAAAAAATTTCCTGTGAACCATGTCTTGTCCCTCATTTTCCCTCTTACAACAGCAACTAACATTAACAAGTAACTTTAGAATAGCTCCAGGTGACCTACCCATGGGAGTGCCAACGCCATAGCCTTTAGAGTCTATAAGGCCGCCAATCTGTGTGAGGTTACAGTTCCGCTGGGTAACGAACTCGATGGTTGTTGACTCCATTAAGAAAGCATAATCCGAGGTGAGGACTCGTTGGATCCCTTCCTCATTGCTTTTGACAAGCACAGACTGTCTCCTGCTGCTCATAAATGCCCACATTTTATCATATGTTGAGATTTTGGATTTCTGGAGGAAAGTAAGATAAGTTTAAAAGATAATAAAATAATATCATAGGTTCTACAATTCCAATGACATTTAGACATAATGGATTGCACTCAGTTTGTTTGTTTGTTTTTAATAATTTTAATTTTTTATATTAATCACAGGTTATTTACTTTGCATCCCAGCTGTAACCTCCTCCTTCATTCCCTCCTAATCCCACTCTCCTTCCCTCACCTCCTCCCTGCCCCTTTCCAAGTCCACTGATAGGGGAGGTCCTCCTCCCTTTCTATCTGACCCTAGCTTATTAGGTCTCTTCAGGACTGGCTACAATGTCCTCCTCTCTGGCCTAGCAAGGCTGCTCCTCCCCAGAAGGGTTGGGGGTAGGTCAAAGAGCCAGCCATTGAGTTCATGTCAGAAATAATCTCTGTTCCCCTTACTAGGGAACCCAGTTGGATACTGAGCTACCATGGGCTACATCTGAGCAGGGGTTCTATAATTACTTACTAAATATATTTTATATAAATCTTGATTTTGTTATAGATGTGACAATTTTAGAATGGCATTAAAAAACTGAATTCAACCAAGGACCAAGGACCATGCACTCAGTTTTCTAATGCCACTCTAAAATTGTCACATCTATAACAAAATCAAGATTTATACAAAATATATTTAGTAAGTAGTTATTTCTGGATATAGTACAATTTAACAAATACATTCAAAGTGTCTTACACTTTAAAAATTCACACTAATGAATTGTATAAAATAATAAATATTAGAAAAGCAAATGAGTTTAATAAAAAATCTTCTGATTGAATTTTACATAAGTTTCCTGTAGGCATTATTTTCTTTTGACATTACTTAACATCAAATTTAGAAATGACAGATATTGGACACAGATTGTCACCGTCAGGTAACAACATTATTTTTCTTGTTGTAATTCACCAGTTTGATGACATAATCACAGACATTAAATAAACTCCCAAATATATAAGTCTATAGTTGAAGATAAGAGAATAAATAAATAAATAAATAGATAGATAAATAAATAAATAAATATAGCAGTATTTCCACTGAGATAAGATATAGTCACCACCTTGAGTATACACAGAAACTAGTAAAAATTGCCATTCCCAATTTTTGACTAGCTAGAAACCCTTGAATAATCAAACTGAATAGGTTCATGAGCAATAGCAAATTCTCAATAGAGGCTTACTACAATTTCATTTTAAAATTAAGAAATGAGTTTTGTTTAGAGATTCTGGAAGAGCATAAAAGTTTCTTACCTGCTTGTTCAACACACCTTCAAAACTCACTTTATGTAACTAACCCCTTTCTGCTTAGGAGTGAGAAGAAAATACTGGCAATGAAACATAGTCTCCTCTATAGGATCATTTATCTCCCTCACAGCTGTCCTCGTTATAATTTTCATGACCTGAGAAGCCTTCTATTCCAAATGAGTTCTTTCCATCTCATCTTCTTCAACAAACCTAGAATGATGTCACAGTTGTCCACTACCCTATCACACATTTGAAGGGCCTACTTACATTAAAAAAAATTTAAGAAAGGAAAGACTCAAACCCCTCAAACTGGTTTCAAGCCGGCCTTATAACCTCTGTCTTTCTCAATGAGACGCTGGGAAATTCATTATATAACTTTGTCAAAGTTAAATTATAGATTATAATCTATATATCTTTTTTAAAATGGAATAACAAACACTACTTTTTATTATTTTATTTTTTCATTATTATTACTTATATTATTATTATCATCATTATTATTATTATTATTTACAATTATTCTCTTTATATCCTGGCTGTAGCCCCTTCCCTCAGTTCCTCCTGGTCCCACCCTCCCTCCTTTCACCCCTCACTTTGTCCCTCCCCTAGTCCACTGATATGGAAGGTCCTCCTCCCCTACTATCCGACCCTAGCCTGTCAGGTCTTATCAGGACTATCTTAATCCTCTTTTTCTGTAGCTTCTCAGTCTCCAAGAGGCTTCCTTAGCAAGGAGAGAAAGTCCTGTCTCTGACATGGACTCAGTGGCCAACTCTTTGAAAATCTATATATCTTAAATGGCTTATCTTTTTCAACTAGGCTTACAAGATGCTACATGCCCTATCATAGAAGTAATAAACTTCCATGGCCATACATTAATTATTATTTTATTAGATCCCTAGAACTTTATGTCATTTCATTAATATTAACCTCTTAAGTGACATATATTAGCACAATAGACGTCCAAGAAGTCAAAACAATCTGCATGATTCTACCAGCTGTTTATTTTAATCCTTATTGCTCTCCCCCACTCTCTAAATCATTTATATAAGAAGTTGAAATGTTACATTTTTATTTCCAAGCAGAAAAATATATTTGTAGGATTAAAGGTAAAAAATAAAAAGAGTATTTAAGATTATGCAAATTGTTTTATGTCTGGCGCCTTGCCTGGGGAATTATGAAGGCACTCACTCACAATGAATACAAAGTGTTCAAATGATCTTCAAAAACAATGAAATTTTAAAAAAAATTAAAAAAAGATTATGCTGAAATTTTTATGAACTCATGAAACCAATGGTGAGACCACAATCATTTGATGCCAAATAACTGTCATGATGAGAACATAGCAAGAGCACAGTTGTTTTCTTTCCAGCTTCAAGATTTTGTTTCTAATGTTTTCATTTTCTACCTAAACCTAAATAAAATAAAAGTCTAAATAAAATAAAAACCTAAATAAAGTAAAATAACATAAAAAATAAAAGAAAGGAAGATGATAGAAAGAAATAAAATTGGCATTACATTTCATTTAGTGAATCTGATTGAAAACACGGAAACAAAATCCAATAATCATATTGTATTGAGTTTATAAGTGTAGATTTAGTGTTTGAAAACTTACTCTAAGATTTACTCTAAAAATACTTTAAGATTACTTAAAGTAATCTCTTTAAAAACAAACTGAAAAGGGGAAATAGAATAGATAGAGCTCATGCTTGAAGAGAGAAAACAGGATGGGAGAAGGAGTGCTGAGGGAAATGAGGGTGGGATGGGATGTTGGACCCTGGGGAACAGGACAGAGAGCTTGCAGAGAGAAGAGAAACCAAAACTATGGGCAGGACCATCTCTGGAGACCTAAGACAGGGCTGCTCTTGAGAGAATATTTTGTAGTAGAGGATAGGGATTCTGAAGAGGCCCCTTCCAACATGACAGGACTCCTAGTGGAGGCAGGGAACATCAACCTAACTATAAATACTTTAACACAAAATTTACCTTGCCTACAAGATGTACAGGGATTAAAATAGAGCAGAGACTGAGGAAATGTCCAACCAATCCTGGGCCACATCATTAGAGAAAGCCAACTCCTGACACTGTTAGAGTCACTCTGCCATTCTTGCAGATAGGAGCCTAATGTAGTTGTCCACTGAGAGATAAGGATCTTGAACAATGAGAAATGTTTCTTAGCTGTTTGTATTTATTCTTTTGATACATTTCTGTTTAGTAGAGCCTCCATATTTGTTTTATTGATGTTAAATTTTTAAGTGCTTTGTATAGTAGATATTAACCCTCTGTCAAATGTATAACTGGTAATGTTCTCTGCCCCACCCATTCTGCCAAGCATCCTTTCATTCAAGTAATAGAATCATTTGCTATACCTAAACTCTTTATTTTTATGAGTATGCACCTATGAAGTGCTGGTATTTTTATTTTTATATTTTATTATTATTTTATTTTTTCATTTTTTTTATCCCAGTTGTAGCCCCCTCCCGTGTCTCCTCCCAGGTCTACTCTTCCTCTCTTTCCCTCCCCTATCCCTCTTCCCTAGTCCACTGATAGGAGAAGTCCCCCACCCCTATTGTCAGACCCTATCTTATCAGGTCCCATCAGGACTGCTTGGATTCTCTTCCTCCGTGTGCTGGCTAGGTCTCCCCACCAAGGAGAAGTCATCAAGGAACAAGGAACTGAGTTCATGTTTTAGACTGTCTCTTCTCTCCTTACTAGGGAACCCACATGGAGACTGAGCTGTCTATGAGGTATATCTGGGCAAGGGTTCTATGTCTTCTCTATGCATGGTCTTTGGTTGATTCATCAGTCTCTGCAGTACCCCTCACTTCCAAGCCCAGCTCATGATTCTATTTCATTTGTACAAGTGGCGTTCTCTTACTATAGCTCTGCAGCATAACTTGAGAGCTTTGAAGTTACACTTCCAGCAGTATTTTTACCTTTTCATATATTCCAGGTCTTTTATATTTTCATATAAAATTTAAGGCTATCATTTCAATTTCTGTGATTTTTCAGATTTCCAGATTGATGGTTATAATTATAAGTAAATAAATAGATGGTTCATAATTTAATAGTTAGCTGTTCATTCTTTACACATGCTAAACCAATTAGTTTTGTAAGAATTAATTAAATAGGTATTTCAATCACTATTTTAAAAATAGAATCAAACAGAACACAGAGCTCTTAATAGTTTTCAGGAACACAAGTGGTTGCTTATTTACAAAAACAGGAATAAAACTTGGGCTTGTTTTAAGTACAGGTTTAAATTCTCAATCATAATACTAAACGAGCTCCACCTAAAGACACGTTTGCACTGTGTTTTACAGCTATCCCCATGGCCTACTCCACAGTGGCACTTGTAGCATTAGCAACACACTGGCTGCCACAACTGGCAATAACGCTTTCTCAATATTAATTTCTGTCAAACACTATTAAATATCATTTATCATGAATGAGTAAATATTTGAGGAGAAACTCATACATAGAACATGAAGCTCAGAGAAATGAGATAAACTTTCTCAGTGCTGCAAAAAAATATTGAAGAGAACATATAAAGAAGAGTAAGGATATGTTGAAAAAGACATTGAGAAAAATATTTAAAATTCAGCATCCAAATTTAAAGACTCAAGTGGAATGTTGAAGGTAGACTTAAGGAATTTGCCTTCAAAATGAATTAAAATAAAAGACCTATTATAATAAAAGTCTGTTCTGAAGGATAATAAATGAAATAATATTTAAGAGATGAAGCAGTAA